GAGGTGTAACCGAGAAAAAAGATAGAATTCCATTCCTAGTCTCAATGATGATCAAACTAGTATGTATGCCCTTCTAAGGGTCGACCCGTTTTGTAGCAGTTCCTTTGTGATTCTCAGGGACTCGAGAGTCCTATGTAAGCAGAAGATTCAATATTCAGAGATTGCCGTATGGAGGTGTACTACTTTTACTAGTGTTTAAGTATTGTTGATGCTCCTTGTATTTTTTCAATTACAATCGTATATGTCTTGCACTTGATCTGTTAGTCGTGTGGTTGAACAGCTTAACGAAATGTAACTATTGTATTTTTAACAGAGGAGGAAAAGATAATTTTGCTGATTCCCAGAGGTATCGAATTGAGATTCTATAATTTCGGACAAAGCGATCAAACCCAGTTGAAACTGTTTTTACTCAAATAACTCCACCTTTCTGTCAATATATAAATTCAAACCGAATTCGATGCTTCGTTTACTGGAGATTCAAATAGTATAATAAAAAATAGTGTAAAACTCTACCGTTATACTCCAAACAACAGAGACTAGTTCATGTTTGGACATCTGTCTTATTCCGTTTACTAGTAATTATTTGTTGTACGAATAGTTTGTTTTTCTATTTAATAATTATCATTAAATTGCTTTTAGGTTTCTAGTGAATTTTCGACTTGTGTAATTATTGAACACGGTTAATTTTATCGTTGCATACAACACTTACAATTGTTACAATATATTTGTATATAATTATGTGTACACACATTGTTTTGCACGCAATTAATAACTATTTTGGTGAAGTGACGGAACAGCGGAAGTTTGAACCGTATGTGTTTGGTAACTGTACACAATGTAGTTTACTCGTTATTGCTCGAGTTAAACCGAACTTTGGTAGTTTTCCGGGCTCGTAAACTTAACAAATTACATCAAGACAAATGTATTATGAGCGTAACATATGTAGGGTTTTTTTTTAAATTTAACGATGAAGTCATTATTATTTTTGCATCAACGTGTAGTGCCGGTGTTGTACGAGGTTCTGCTGACAAAGGACAACTCGATAAGACGTATCGTTATATTATATTGTATTATTGTCTGGTAAACGTGCAATGTCGTGTACGGCGACACAGATTCCGCGACAAACCGTTAACCAACCGAACCGACCGGAATCTTATGAGAAATTCGCTGGTATTTTATTATGTAAATGGCAATAAAAAAAAAGATCCAACTCGGTACACACTGTCGGCACTATAAATTCTAATAAAGTTCTCTAGCGTTCAAGTCGCAGACGATATACGACCGGCAGTATCGTGGCCGTCTGCCACACACACCCTACGACAATTGGAACAATAATAATAATAGTAATAATAATATCGTGGATAACTTGTTTTTTGAGTTTGTTCGACCGAGAACAACGTTGTTTTGTGATAAGCTTAAGGGCCAAAAAGCTTCGTATAGAAACCGTCCGAATGGCTTTTGTCGGACCGGTCATAAAACGCACCCACCGAAATGTATTGGTCACGTTTATTGTGTTTTTATCTAAAAAAAAAAAAAACCTTCGTCTATTAGACTATATTATTATATTGACCTAAATAAAACGAACAACAAAGTATATTATGGTAAAGTGTTGCGTTTGATTTTATTAGCGAGAAAAAAAATCAAAAAACGTTTTACTACCTATGATATAATATGAACTCATCGTGACCGACATAGTAATATTATGCAACCTCTCTACAATATATTTCTGGCTCTTGGGTCAAGAAGGGACAATATCGAAAATTGATTTTAGGCATTTTTAAAATGATTAACGTGGCATCGGCCCTTATTGACCCAACCATAGAGTTATATTCATAAATATCTTATATAGGTCAGTTTTATTTGGGAAGTTAAAACGTTAAGATGTGTTTACTGTTTTGGCTTGGAAACGTTTTTGTGAAAACTGCATAATCAATAAAATATAAACAACATTCATTTGTGCGTGGAAAATTAAAAACTCCACTGAAAGCCGGCTCGCCATAATAACGGCAAAAGTCATTTTAGAAATTCTCTGCTCGATTCGTCAGAGTAGTGTAGAATTGATTTTTATAATAATAATTAATTGTGGAGGATGTCGTCGTTTATTATTCTCAGAAAACGGAGCCGGAAGTGTTTTTCTGTTTTGAATTTTTACTATTTTATTCATGATTTAAGCAAATCGAAAACGTCTGTCTTTTACAGTCAAAATACGCACTGCCAATATCGGACAGTTAAAATATATTTTATTTTGGAAATGCAAACCGAAAGTAAACATTTTTCTACCTCAAGCATTCAAATTTATTTCAACACAAATATCGTTCGGTAAAAATGAACACAAAAACAACAACATTGGCTTAGACAACAGAATTGGGTAATAAATCACAACCCTCAGGTGCTTAAATCATAAAATGAACATCTAAAATAAATTGTTCTAGAGCAATAATAATTTTTTTTTTTTTTTAGACAGTTACAACAATATTTGTATTACAGTGTTTTTGTACCGACGATTAATTTCATGGCTATTTACTAGAACCGTATTATACTCTGTTGGACAATTACATTTATTTTCCATTGATGTTGGTGTGCATTTAATCGGTTGTGCATCTGCGTTTAATTCTAATTGAATTACTAACCGAGTTCGAGCGTGACACGATGGCCGTTAACGTTGAAATGAACTTTTATCTAACTCTGCGCACATACACTAATCGCTTAACCCCAATTGGAAACCGACAAATAGTGCTGAGGGTGTTTTTATTTCTCGACAATATCACGTTTCTGAATTCAAGTTGTTTTTGCTTAACACTTTCCCCTCGACGTCGTATCCGTTTCTCTCGCTGCTCAAAATACAATTATTGTTCATACGGGTTCTTCTTCTTGGAATGCTTACTCGAGACTTCCGTTGGAATACATCCGATAGCTATAAAAAAAAATTATATATACACACCAGCGACTATCGCTCTGAGAAGAACGATCGATTACCTACTCGATTGGCTCTGTATACTTGCATCAAACTTGACCACAAAAAAATAAATCAAACGCAGCATTTCTTTGATGATGAAAAAAAATACATTAAAGTCAACATGACCAGGATATCAAGTTTTTCGCGAGGCTAACGCTAAGAACCGGAAAACTTGGAATTTAAGTACAAATCATTTTAACACGGATTGAATCTTCTCCGAAATGAGTTTGATTGACTGATGTTTTACAACCTCCAAATTTTAGTAGTTCTCATAAAAGGTGACCTAATTGTATAAAATATTGGAAAGCCTCTGAGACTAAATGATAGCCTAACTGAAAAACGGAAAAATTATGGAAAAGTTTGATGGAAGAGTATGCAAAAGGTACCTTAATACCTTTTAAGCACAAAACAAATATATTTTTGCTGACTGGGATTGTAATCAGGAAGTTTTATGTCACGTATAAATTAGTTAAGCCACAAGCCCCAGATGAACCCTTTTTGTGTAATCCCTAAAATCCACAGGAAAGGTGGTCAAAAAAATATAAGTATGTAGTCGTTTTTCGGTACTAACCGTAGTATAACCAATATAAACATTCCATTTCCATTCCCTTTTAAGACGTATGAGCAACGCCCGTCTTGGTTACCTGGTCCGCTCCTGGCACCGTTAGCTGTGCCCAAACCTTAAACTTGCTCTCTGTTGATTATTGTTAAAATATTCTTGCGTAATAATCCTTAATTACTCTAAAAATCTAATTCATAAGAGTCATTTCTGTAATCCATAGTTGTTTGTTAAATTTTAAACGTATTTGAGAATTGATATTCAGGGTTGAATTTTCTTTCCCTGCATGCTTTATAATAATATATATATCCGCATATATTATGTTCTTCAGACTTCAGGAGGTATAATCTTTGGTCAGAAAGCTATGGTAGAGGGGCTGGTTTTCAAGTTATACTTAACACTTGCCTATTTAGCCAAACAGGTGCATACTATTCTGCTGTAGAATACCGTGGTTATTAGAGTTTGATAATATTCATCCCCCATCCTATACCGACTAATTTTTTGCAGCAAGTTACCTCTCGATTTAACCTTTATTTGTGATGGCAGGGTGTGATCTAAAGAACATCTTGGTGAACCAAAAATTATTCAAAACAGACTTACATTTATAGACATAATATCCATAAATAAAAATAAATAAATAATACAGAAAAAAAATGACTGCAGAAGTTATTAATTGCCATTTTGTTATGCCTTTTTTTTTTTAACCAATATCCCGTTTCAAATCGTCCGGAAAATCAGACATTTTGTTTAATAGTCCACTTAAGTAATAAAACAAATGTTTATGTAAACTTCATAGTTCATAAATATATAATAACTACATCTATGTGTGTAGTTTTTACAGATTCATCCACTGCGTTGCATCATAATGAGATAAGGGTTTTATTTGTAAATATTATGTTATTTATGTAAACGCTGGACGCAATGATTAATAATTAAACGAAAAAGTAATTTACTCGAATGTTAAGATAGCATTATCTCATGAAATACACACTATTAATGTTAATTTAGCGACTAGTGAGGCCTTGTTGATAAGTCTAAAATATAAGGTCTGGTATGAATGCATAAATAGGCGGTCAAAACCGTTGTGCCGACTTGTTTGTGCACGGGAGGTGAAATATGGGTTTCCATTACAATAATAATCGCATGCCAGATAATCATACATTTTCTATAACTCTGTTTAATATTGACAGATAATTACTATACCAGGGTCTACCGTCAAAGCCACTGTTCAAAAGACGTTTCTGAATAAAACCATACACTGTGCAAATTCGTATCGCTTTCGACAAACAAATCCGTTGTTTATTTTTCATTCAAGGCTTAAGTAGGTATACGGTAAACGCATATTTTCTCCCGTTTAAATTTGTATGTGTGTGTGTGTGTGTGTGTGTGTGTGCGCGCGCGCGCTTTATTGTCTACAGCGGAGTCGAGTGATGATATTGGCATGTTCCTCGTCACTCCTTTCTACAATGTCCCAGCCTCGGTTACCTGGTACGATCCTGGGACCGTTAGCTGTGGCCAAACCGGAGCCGTAGGTCACTTGCGATGGGGTGGCGTTGGACGATACGATGCTGATCTGTTCCAGGTCTGCCGACTGTCCATGGTGTAGTAGCCTGGTGCTGCTAGTAGAAGTGGCCGGCTGCGCGTCCCCGGACTCCCGTCGGCCCGCTATGCTCTGTACCAGCCGCATGCCTCGTTATCAGGCGCCCGCAGGAGGACCGTGACCCGAACCACCGCGACGACGATGACAACGACCTCCGCGGCCCGGATGGCATAATGACCGGCGCGCCGGTGTAGCATCACCAGTCATTTATACCGGGCGCGATCATCGTGTCGCACCGTGAGAAAACGCCAACGCCCTTGCTGGCGGTGGATGCCTCTTGCCGGCGGTTTGGCCCCACTTCTTCGCTGTCGACGATCACTCCGACGGGCGATTGCGCGCAGTGGATGGCATTCAACACAATAGCATTGCACCGCTGACGACGAATCTGCAAGGAGAAAATAAATACATTTTCATTGATATTCGATTTGCGAAGGTCGATCCGAAATTTAAACGCCAAAAAGTCTTTGGCGCAGGGATTGCAATGATGTATCGATAGTTTTAATAATACTATCCATAGATGGTGACCAATATATATCTTTGTGTTGACAAGTAACATAAATCTTGCACATGTTATCGGCCCGTATATATTTTATACATGTGTAAGCTGCGTCCCGGGACATTCTGTTTATTTTCAGTTAGCGAAATAATTTAAAGTAATAATCTGCGATAAAAATATGTCCACTAAAATAAAAATATTACTAGCGGCCAGTGTGCATTTGATCGTGTGCAGTTGTACAGCTATACAGTATATTATTTTCAATTTAATACAAATAAAATGAACGTTATGAAAAGCGAAAGAAAAAATAAAACGTTGAAAGTGGTTGATGGTTACAAATTTCGTTTTCATAAGTTTCTAAAAAATGATATTCAACGTTGGTGTTGCACAGTTAAAACGTGTAAGTGTTTTTTTTTTGAAATTTAATGATAATAATATTTTTATAGGGGGTTTTAATGATCACAATCATGTACAAATATCTGAACAACAAATAAATCGACAGACACTTAATAATAATTTTTAAAAAAAAGCTGTTGACGATATGTTTACTAGACCAACTAAAATTATCCATTCTGAAATAAAACATGCTGATATTGCAACTTTAACTTCTCAAGACGTCAATTAGATTAAAAGAAATTTACACAATGCTCGTGCTTCTATCCAACCAAAATTACCAGCTACTTTTTCGGAATTACATAATATTTTTGACAATATGGAATTTGAAACAAATAAAAATGAAAATTTTTTGTTAGTTAATAATAAAGAAACAAATAGAGTAGGTTTCTTCACATTAAGTAATTTAAAAGCCCCATGTAGTTCAGATACTATATTTGTAGATGGTACATTCAAAAGTTGTCCAAAATTATATCATCAACTATTTACAGTTCATTGTACAATTAATCAATCTAATGTTCCACTCGTTTATTTTCTAAGACTATTATCTTCAAAGACTACACAATGCGTTTCAACATTTAGTTATAGAGTGCAAAAATAACAACTTACAATTTAATCCCATTCGAATGTATGTCGATTTTGAAAAAGCTATCCATAATGCTGCAAACCATGTTTGGCCTTCCATTCAAGTAAAATGGTGTAGATTTCATCTTGGTCAAAGTTAGTATAGGAAAATACCACAGTTGGGCTTAAGTAGTGCTTATAAAAATAACAATACTGAAATAAGTAATTTTTTAAAATGAATGTTTGGACTACTTTTTTTAAGTTTTGATATGGTTGAAGACTGTTTTGCGTACGATATTATTCCATTGCAACCACAAGATGATAGGATAATACAATTTACCGACTACATATTAGAAACCTATTTAACCAACGACTCGGAGTTCCCGCCACAGATATGGGCCGAATTTGTATCCTCGATAATGCGCACAACAAATAATTGTGAATGATTTCATAGAAAACTAAACGGGTCGTTCAATTCATCAGCAGAACGGTGATTGTCGCTTAACAAAATATTCAGCACAAGTAAAACCGACATGATAGTGTTTAAAAATAGACATCGTTATGAAAACTTAACGGCACTTAACCATAAAGCTGATTAACTTAAACCAGTCTCTTATATTTTACATTAGTTCGTGCTAAAAATTGTATGCGAGAGCCATGTACCGGAAATTAACTTTACATATACAATTTGGAGAAGCCGAGTTGACAGCTGTTGCGAATTTATGAGTTTCCAGTCGTGTCAAATGAAAAATTTCCATAACATAATGCAACATATTTCACATACTACAAACTTAAGTATATATACATAAGATCATACACGCAAAGTAAATTAACTAGAGAGCTTGCCGGAAATGTTGTACGCGTTCAATTTGTTTTTAAGTGTATTTTTGTGTAAAAATGAAAGAAATTTAATAAGCATGAAATATTAATAAATGCAGATGATTTTGGCACGTTAAAAAATAGGATAAAAAAGTAAATAGTAAAACTGGTAAAAGTGAAAATGATATGCTAAGTATTAAGTATCAATATAAAGTCCAAAAAGGATAGTTAAATTAAAAAAACCAGAAATAACAGTTGCAACCCAAAGTACTTTTGAAATACATATAATTACTTATTACTTAGTTACTCATATAATTTAATATTCAACTGAAACGATAACGAGTCATTCGGATCACTGTTAGATAGTTTATGTTTTCGTTTGCTTTTATCCAAAGTAATTGAACGTTCCATTAAATATTATATCTTCGTTTGGATATTAATCATTATTTTAAGTTCTTGGAAATATTATGAGTATAAAACTAAATTTTTTTTCCTTAAGACGACTTGGAAAATATATCTGTGCGCTGATTGTTTTCAAAGGAAATAAAGTAAACTGTTCAGAGCGATAAAAGTCGGAAACATTCGATATTGAATTTTACCTTTGCTGCATTCTTTTAGAAGTACTCTCAATGATGAAAGATCTTTTATTTCAATTGAAAACGTATGCGTATGACTCTCGATTGTGTAAATCCATGAAAATCATTTTTTTCCCATTTGGAAACCATTCAAGATGTGATTGCGAACGAGATCAAGCGCGTTTCCACCCCTCCCAATAATAGCTGCTACACTAAATAATAAAAACTTATTGGTTTTTTTTCGCCAAAAATCGACTCGTGCATATGGTAATACACTGTTTTGAGATAATGAAGTTCAAATAGACGTGACGCATTTACACGAGTTATACTCTATTCCCTTTAGATCAGTTCCGTGTAAATTGATTTTGGGAAATTTAATTAAAGTCACTCGCAGCCAGACAGTAATTTCCGTTTGCGAAATCGTTTCCGCATGGAGACTTTATTGAAAGCTGACAAAGATGTAATCTTTGTTGGGTATGATACGTTAACGACAAACCATGTATCTAGTCGACTAGTGGAAAACCGAAAAAACCCGTTTTGACGATACGTTGATAGCTGTTAATAGTAATGTACGAGGCAAAACGGAAAGGTGAGCTGCTGTGTGACCAGAACGACAACATTTTAATTATCTGGTGTATATTTTTAATTTGTTCCCAATTGCAACCGTGTGACACAAAACATAGTTTGACTAAACAGTTATAATATCAACAAATTATTAAAACTTGAGTGGGGGTATTGTACTTACACTATTTACACAGTTTGCGGATATTTCCAATTGAACAGCTTGACTTGACTGGGCAGACGAGTCAAGCTACTCAAGTGGGAGTATCCGCAAATTGTGTAAATAGTGTAGTTATAATATTACCAAATTATCATATGTAATTCAAATTTATCTATTGATTTGTAAAGTTGATAAGGATTATACTGTGCAGTGTTTAACGACTTATAAAAAAAAATATTTATTTTTATTTAAACTAATTACACTGTCGCTCGGCTTCTTGATTATAATCTATATATTTGTACCCTATAGTAAGAAGACTTGATAACTTAAAAGATACATGATAGTAACAATAATCGTTGTCACTGCGACAGACCAAAGGAGAAGGATGGCCCTGTCTGAATAATAATTGTTGAAATATATTTTATATAGTGCATTTTATGATTTGTCTTGTAATGAAACCTAACTTTTTTATAAGGTACAAGTTTTAGGAATTTTTTTTTAGAAAGGTTTAGGATTATCACTTTGTTTTTGTAACTAAGTAAGTAACAACGATAAGTTCATACAATTTTAGTAGTATTTATTTGATATAGTGGTGGATTTCGATAACGCGAAGGATATTGATTGGGTTTTTCGTCTTTTCTTATTGAACCACGATAATGATTCTGATGGACTTATTTTGTTGACCTGAATACACTCTAAGGGGACAATTATTTTTGAGATGTGCCGATACTAACGATAATGACTCGTGATTTGCAACGGTCACATAAGTATCACTTTCGGTGAAATGGCGACTCGTGCCGTCCTACCGCAGCATTATATTGTACTTTGCTGAATTGTATCGCACCGAACCAAAGGACCTGGCTACAGTGTCTTATGATAAATCGACTGGTCTTCATTGGCAGCAATTACGTCGGTCGGACGGTCGCGTATTGATTTCTATTATTAAACGCATAAATCACATGCCGGGGCCGATTCCTCCCCATCGGCGTCGAAGTGACAGTATCCTTTTAAAAACCTTATATAATATATATATATATATATATTATGTATACACATCTATCCACTCGGAAATTAATCAAAACCTCGTGCGGCTTCGAGTAAATGATGTAGACAAAACGGCTAATGACCGAACCGTTTTTAGGATAAAGTTTAAACGTTCGGCGGGTCATTTTTCATTCAAGATTCTCAGATACACCAAATTACTCCCCTTCATCCCCCTTCCCTTCAACTTCCGGACACAAACAGTGTCCTCCACTAACCACTCCTAACCCCCCCCCCCCTCCCGTTCCCTGCTAGCGCCTACCAATAAAAACATAATATAATCGGCTCAGGTTACCTAACCAAACCTGATCCGTTTCTGTGATGCTCGGGTAAAACTTCTCAAGACCATATTTAATAGGAATATAACCGATTTCATCTACTCCCCTTCAAAAAAAAAAAAAGATAATTTTTTTTTTATATATGTAAACAATTTAACCTCGTTTATGCGACTTTTGAACTCGATACATAAAAAAATACCCTTTTATTGCGGGTAAAATTAAATAACTCTTATACCTAATCATTTTGAACTACTATAGCTACAAATTGACAAAATCTACCGTGTACTACTTGTTTAAGAAGAAAAAAACTCGGATGAAAATATGCAAACCGAATGTTCAATAAAACATTATAAAAAGTACAATTTTAGAGGGTAATTATTTCAATTTATCGTATTTGTTTTTATTAAATAATATCAAATATAACAATATGTTTATTTGAAAATAACAATCGTTTGATATTGATGCAGATAAAAATTGCTCTTTAAATTTTTAGCTATT